AAAAGCTAGGTGTGCTGTGATTGGCCAGCTATTCAGTGCGTTGTGATTGGCCGAATACCTCAAGCGTGTGACGGAAATGTTACGTCCCTTACCATATTGTGATGCCGTGTCCCGGAGCGATGAGACAAAAACATTAAAACCCATTATAAACGAGGCATTTTTGCATCCAGTGGGGACATAATTACGGATTATAACGACTTATAATATAATGACTTATACTGTCTTTTAACCCGTTGCGTTGCGTATCGCACAGCGTTAACATAAAACCATGTCTGCATTTGTGATCGGAGAAATTACAAGCAACAAGCGCTACTCTACACTGCTCAAAACTCGCATTTGAATCATCAGTGGCAAATTATTTAAATATGAAAACGTACTTACAGGCTGTGAGTCAGAACAGCCGGCATTGTAGTCTACTCTCCCAGGATCAGGAAACAGTCCTCCATAAAATGTGCTGCACACATCTGAATATTTGGGTTGAAGTGTTCTGGAACAGTGTTGTAAATACAACTTAACCACTGATTTCTAGTCGTGTCCTCTTTTGGAAGACCAAACAAAGTAGTTTCACTTTCGCAACAAAACACACAGCGTCTTCACAAAATGGTGTTTTTCACAAAAAAGTTACGCCTTCTTCTTTTGTGTGAACATTTGGGCGGTGTTATGCAAATCTTCCCACACAGTGATGTAGATATGTGGGGGCGTGTTTAAAAGAGCCGTTTTAGGAGGGCGTGGACGAGTCTTAACTTTTATAAAGAATATCTCTTTGGGTTTGAGACTTTAGTCTTTGCAACTTTAGCGATCTTATCTATTCACGAACAGCTTGTAACACTCCAAAGAGAAAGGAAAACTTGAAATCGCATCATGACCCCTTTAAAATATAATTTTATAAAATAGCAAAAACTACTGTACAGGGAGTTGATGTTGCCATTTGTCTCTCTGTAGATAATTGACGGAGAAGGAGAGGCAGCGCTGACAAGACAAATGATCACGGCGAACTTCCCAGACATCCAGCAGCTAGTTGGGAATTCCCTCTACATTTCAGCCAGTGTTTTAACAGAAACTGGTAAGAGCCAGACCGAACTGAGAGTCTGTGTGGTGGGTTGAGAGTTGGATTTTAGCTTGAGAGTTGCTGGAAGGTTTTTATATTTTACCAGCTCAAAAGGAGACTTATGTGATTTTGTCTAGAGTTGATTTCACCTCAGAAAACGCCTGATGACTCTGTTTGTGTGCGTTTTTCAGGCAGTGAAATGGTAGAAGCGCATAAGAAAGGCATTCATATTGTGACGTCACCGTACACCATTCTCTTCAAAAGAACACCACACTTCTTCAAACCTGGGATGCCTTTTGATGTCTCGGTATGAAAAAAAATCACTAAACATTTAAGAATGAGATCATACTCACCTCTACTGAGTTACGATACACTGTGATATTGTTTATATACGATGAAATTCTTTATAATTTCTTATTAAGGTCTATGTAACAAATCCTGACCAAACACCTGCTAAAAATGTGGAAGTGGAGGTCAATCCTGGAGGGGTCAAAGGTCGAACAAGAGCCAATGGCATCGCGAAAGTTACTGTCAACACTCCGGGAGGATCTTCCACACTGGAGATCACCGTAAGACCTGAGCTTAAATGAAACATCTCAAAGTCTTTATCACTTTTTGAAATTTTGCAAACCAACAAAATCAATATGTTTATGTCCAGGCAAAGACCAAAGATCCACAAATAAGAGATGAACAGCAGGCAGTGAAGAAGATGACGGCTCAGGCCTACATTCCCAAAGGCGGCTCCAACAACTACCTGCACATCGGCATTGATGCTGCAGAGCTTCAGATTGGTGATCAAATGAAAGTCAATCTGAATCTAGGAAACAGCCCTGGAGGGAAAAAACAGGATTTCACCTATATGGTGAGGAACACATGACACAGTTATCGCTCATGCGCTACTTTGTGCGTCCTAGTTGTTTGATACAAATGGTGCTTTTTTACCTCTATTTAGGGATGAATTACTGTACAAATTGTAGTCATATTTATGCAAGCACTATGAACATTTTTTTGAAAGCCTACACCAGTGCTGGAGTGTGACTGCCTAAGCATATCTATCTCATCACTTACAAATTGGGAACTTGACCATTGACCATGAACCATTTTGCCAGACTGTTGGGCAACGTGAGAAATCAAACATGCTCTCCTGTCTGTCTCTAATAGTGTTAAAATTGCATCATTTTAGCACAGCATTTTTTGTCTTTTTTCTGGAATATAAATATTTTATGTTAAAATAGTTTATCAGAGTTTTATTGATTTATATCAATTAAAAGCTATTTTAATCAGGGGCCAAGCATCGAAGGTCCGTAGACATCTATTGCAATCATTAATCTTCCTCTTCTTCCATTTTTCTATGGCAGCCCATAGAACCATATGGTAAAAATGTGTGAAATGCTTGGCTCAAGCTGATTCAATTGCAAGCCATGGCATCCTTTTCTGCCATTTTGAATCTTCAGAAAACCCTTCTTTTTGTGGAGTCCTCCTAGACCATTTGTCCAATTTTAACAAAAATATATCCACATCATCATCAGACCATGCCAACAACAAATGTTGTTGATTAGCCAAACCATTCTCAAATAACACGCAAACAAATTTAACAAAGAGCGAAAATGGATGTAAAGCTGTGTCTCTGCAAAGCTTTAGTGTATTCAGACCAAACTTGGTGTGTGTTATAATGACCATGACCAGGGGTTACCTGCACAGTTTTGGCATAGCGCCATCTAGTGGTCAGAAGATATGTAAAATGTTTATATTTGCTTACAACTTAACGGTTTGGCCAAAAATCACAAGACTGGTTTCTTTAGAGTCGGGGTAACATACCAAGTCGAACTATACCCAATTTTCCCAGGCTGGCCATTTTGAGCATCTGCCACTTTGACGTTTCGGGGCAAATCTATAATGCAATTTGAAAACATGCAAATAACTTTTGATTAGTTTTGCCTATTGTCATGGATCTGGAAGATTCCTTGGATCATCCCAATAACATTGATAATATCAATTAAGCCATTATGGGCCGAATTTACTGTCCGGCATTTTGATTTTCTTTGAAAACCTATGTGAAAACTAAAAGCTTTCATATATTAACATCAAACTTAATTTTGTGACAATGTCACATTACACTGACCACAGCACATCAATTTGGTAACAGCGCCACATATTGGTCAAACTGATAAACCATTAAATCATATTCCTAGTGATTGTATTCGTGATTTTTCAGCGATTTTGACTAAATCATCATGTCTTTAATTACTAATTGATGCAGTTGGTCTGATGCTCCCTGACATGCTTAGCTCCTCATTTTGCCTCTGTTGTGCTTGGCTCCTTGCTGTTTTGTAGTTTATTTTTTATATATTGAATTGTACCTAACTATGTTTACAAATGTGTAGCTGGCAGAGTCATTATAGTTAACTACAAATAAAAACAATTTAAAAAATAATGTAAAATTTAGACTAATTGCTAGCATTTCTCATTTTCATTTAGTTTACTCTGTACTTAACTAAAACTGAAATAAAAATGAACAAAAACTATATACATAAGAAAAACAAATAAAATGACAAAAACACAACAAACTTTCTAAAACACAGTGAATATAAAAATCTATTCAAGTAATTCATGCTGTCTGTATTTGTCATTATTCCCACAGATCTTGAGTAAAGGTCAGATTGTTAGAGTGGAAAGGTTTAAGATGACAGGACAATCTCTAGTGACTCTGTCTCTGTCTGTAACCAAAGAAATGGTGCCGTCCTTCCGCTTTGTGGCTTATTACAATGTGGACTCGTCTGAGGTGGTGTCTGATTCAGTCTGGGTCGACATGAAGGACACGTGCATGGGAACAGTGAGTGAACCCAGAAACCATGAGCATGAGGAGTGCCTGTAGAAACCATCAGCATTTATGAGCATGTTCTCACTTCTTTTAATCGCAGCTCAAAGTCGAGGTGAAGGACCCGACACTATATGGCCCAGGAGATCAGCTCAGCTTGAAAATCACTGGAGACCCTGGAGCTAAAGTCGGGCTGGTTGCTGTAGATAAGGGTGTCTATGTCCTTAACGACAAGAACAGACTGACTCAGACTAAGGTAATTAACCTCACATACAATAACCTCAGTAATTCCAGACTTAAAATGACCTGGTCTCTTGTTGCTTTAGATCTGGGACATCATAGAGAAGCATGACACCGGCTGTACAGCAGGAGGTGGGAGGGACAGTATGGGGGTTTTCACAGATGCAGGTCTGATGTTTGAGTCCAACACTGCAGGAGGAACCAACACCAGAACAAGTACTTGAACAGTTAATTTAGCTGGAATTGAAGTGTCAGTGTTGTCATGCTCTGCATTCTCAAACACATCTGTCATGATCTTGTAGATATTGAGTGTCCTGTCCCACCTAAGAGAAAACGCCGAGCACAGAGTCTTCTGCAGGTCACCACTACGCTGGGTAAGGAAGCTGTTTATAAAACCTGGCTAAGTGTGATTTATCAAATTGCAAAGGCTGCGATTTAATTCAGTTATATTTCAGAGTGTTCTTTTACACACGAGCAGCCAATGATCCGGTGTTTTCAGTGTCTCAGCTCACATTAAACGCTGCCCCATATGAACTCATCTTTGCATCTGCTCTGAGTCTGGGTTGCTTGTAACGTGCACTTGGGATTGAAACATGCACCAACCATCATCCCAAACATGTAATGAGAAGCGCTTATGAACAAAAGAGAAGCTTTCAAGGGCTTTCTGCAGTTTTGCATCAAAATAAAAGTTTGATGGTTTAATGTTTGAAAATGAAGAAATTAAGATCTTTTTTTTTATTTTTGAGTAATAATAATAATTATTATTATCATTTTATAGCCATAACAAAACTTGTGCCAAATAGTGCAGCCCTACATTTTTTAAAATATTTTTAAATTTTTATCAGAAAAAAAAAAAAATCACAATTAGATTTTTCTCCTAAGTCGTGCAGCCCTTTTTATGCTGTTCCTCTCCTTATGTCCTCATTGTTTCTACACTATCATTGTCTTCTCAGCTGGTCAGTACTCTGGTGATCTGAAGAAGTGCTGTGTGGACGGATTGCAAGATAATATACTCGGCTACTCCTGTGAACGGCGAGCTTCATACATCATAGATGAAGATGAATGTGTTAAGGCCTTCCTGCACTGCTGCAAGGAGATGCAACGCCACAAGGCTGACTTCGCAGAGAAAGAGTTTTTTCTGGCCCGCAGTGAGATTTTAGCCTCATTTGCAAAATACATTCACACAGCTCTCCAACACAGTGATTTCAGCAAGAGAATTATCCGCCTACCTAACTCTCAAATGCTTCGTTATTGCTTTTTCAAGCTAAATGGCATTTTCGCATTATGATAACATAGAAACAGTTGTAAAGTTTGAGAGTGCCTGTGGGTGAATTATAGCAACAATGTTATGATCACAAATTCTCATTTTATTACATTTCAACAGAGAATACACGTATCATTAGTGTGATTTCAGATGAATTGCTTTAATAATATCACTTCAATTGAACTTGCATCTAATACTTTACTGTAGCTTAAATTTGAAGTAATGCTATATATATATATATATATATATATATATATATATATATATTACTTAAGCACACTTAATGTGATGCTTCTTTTAGAGACTGCAGTTCTCTGCAAATACAGACATACACAAGGCACACAAAAGCAGATTGAACAGTATGAAGACTGGCGTAAAAACAGTAATATTGTGAAATAGTATTACAATCTAAAATAACTGGTTTCTATGTGAATATTTTGCAAACTGTGTTTCAAGCTAAATGGCATTTTCGCATTATGATAACATAGAAACAGTTGTAAAGTTTGAGAGTGCCTGTGGGTGAATTATAGCAACAATGTTATGATCACAAATTCTCATTTTATTACATTTCAACAGAGAATACACGTATCATTAGTGTGATTTCAGATGAATTGCTTTAATAATATCACTTCAATTGAACTTGCATCTAGTCTTCAGCGTCACATGATTCTTCAGAAATCATTCTAATATGCTGATTTGCTGCTCAAGAAACATTTCTGATTCTGTTGAAAACAGTTGTGCTGCTGAATATTTTTTGTGGAAACTGTGATACATTTTATTTTTAAGGATTCTTTGATAAATAGAAAGTTCAAAAGAACAGCAGTTTTTTTTTTTTTTTTTTACATTTGATCTATGCGTCCAAAAAATTGCAAACTGCAAATCTTTGAATAGTAGTGCATACTAGTTGGTTTCTTGTTCAGGTGAAGAAGATGATTTTGATGAGGAACTAGGTGAAGTGATGGTACGCACACAGTTTCCTGAAAGCTGGCTTTGGGAGGAGATCGATCTTCCTCACTGCCCACAAAACCAGTTGTGGTGAGAAAATGTTTTATGATATATTCATCTACAAATAAATCAAAAACTTTTGTGGGAACCAAGATGTTGTTCTTTCAACAAGTTGAAACAAGTTTGGACACAGTTTTATCAGCTATAAATTAGTGATATTCTTTCATCATTTTTAAGGTAAATCCTCAAATGAAAACTATAGTGGCAGTGAGCAAATAAGTGTCTGCAGTAATATTTGTTTGAAAATTCTTGGAGGGACTGGCTGTAGATGTTGAAGAGATTTGACCATGACAGTGTCTTGGTTTGTGTCTAGCGCTGAAACATCTACCTTAAGAACTGGAATATTCCTTAAAGACTCCATCACAACCTGGCAGATCACAGCCATCAGCCTGTCCAAGACCCTTGGTAAAAAGACGCTCTTGTTCTTTTTTTATATATTATTATTTGCTGTTCTTTGACGCTCCCTTTGTTTCTCTGCAGGAATGTGTGTGGCTGATCCTTATGAGATCACTGTTAGGAAAGATTTTTTTATCGATCTGAAGATGCCTTATTCAGCGGTGCACAATGAACAACTGGAAATAAAGGCTGTTCTTCACAATTACAGCAATCAGAAGTTGAAAGTATGTGCAGTTTTACTGGCACGGTACATTGTACTAATCCTGTAAAACCTACTGTTTCGTATTTGATACGCAGATTTCTAAGGCCTCTAAATGATCGACATGATCAAAACGTTGCTGTTGAAGCTGTCGCACACAATCTACTACATGCCTTCTGTCGTCTGATTGATAGTTTAGACTGTTTTAGTAAGTAAAAGGCCTTTTAGCATAATTGTAAAATCGTCCACCTTCAGCTTGTGCTTTACATGTTTTTTATAAAGTAAATGTAAGAATATCTTTGATATTAGTAGTATTTCAAGATGAACATTTACTGGACTGAAGCAACTCAGGTTTACTTACTCATTTTTTAGAAAAATTGTGAATATGACAATCAGGCTTTTGAGGAACGTTTGTTTGTCCATCTGTCAATAATCAACGTATTGCATTGCATTATATGTTTTCAAACTACAGAGATTTGATCATAAAACTAAGCATTTAATTATTATTATTGGGAGATATAGAGTGACAGCTGTTATTTATATCATTTTATGTAAGCGTCTGCTATACTGTTATAAAGATCTCATTGATTTGCATTACGAGCATCAGAATTTCATCTTACTTTTTGCTCATATAAATATCAGCAGCTGCATCAAATTGCATATTTATGCTCAGTTTTGGCCTCTGAATAAAACTGAGGTGGGTTTTTTTTTTACTATTTTTTTCATGCTTTACGAGGTTAAACTGTACAGCAGTGGACTGGACTGAACTGTACGGTTTCTCCACATGCTTAAGATCTTTTTTTTTTTTGTCTTATACCAGACGGTGCAAATTAGATTTAAGACATCAGAGGGTGTTTGCAGCAGTGCCAGCAAAAAACAGAAAGGCAGGGTAACCGTTTCTGTTGGCCCCATGTCCTCCGTAGCCATCCCTGTCATCATCATCCCCATGGAGCTGAAAGAGCAGTGGATCGAAGCTGAAGCATACAGCTCGAATCGCAATGACGCAATTAGAAAGAATCTGAAGGTGGTGGTGAGTCTGCCATGTCAACATTTAGAGGAAGGCTCTGGTGATTTCTGCAGGAACCAATCACTTTATTCACTTTATTTCGAGATTTTCAATGCGTCCACCAAGTTGCATTTGTGTCCGTCTTTCTTTCAGCCTGAAGGTGTGCTAACCGAAGTCCGGGAGAGAATTGTGGAGATCAACCCATCCGAGCATCCAGGTGCAGCTTCTTTAGAAACACTGAATATGCAGTGAAAATGTTTGCAAATGACAGCTGAAATCCTCTTTAAACACCGTATGTCCTCTTGACTGAACAGGCGGCTCGCAGGTCGTGTCTATGAGGAGCGACATCCCACGCCGGAAGGTTCCAAACACACCTGCTTCCACAGTGATCACAGTGATAGGTGAAAATCTCATTGCACTGTCCTTCTCTGAGGCATGTATTGGGCCCTATGAAATCCATTTTTATTTTTTCCCAAATTCCTTTTTTATTTTTATTTTTTTTCTGGATTCAATTTTAATGGTTGATTTTTAGTCATCAAAAAGCATGTCTAATTCATTGATATCATGAGACTTTATTAAAAGTGTTTGATTCATTGTACAGCACTACTTTTGATTTATTCATCCAAAATGTGCCAACTTCTGTGACATTCCACGTTGTTCCATTTCCATTTTCTATGTCTTGATTCTGTGATTCCGGACACAGAAATCATAGGACCCTTGGTATATCAGTTCATACATGGTGCGATGGCGCGCACCAACCAGACTGGTGTCAATATGACTTACAAAACCCAATCGCAGTCGTTTACCTTCCATGTTTGCAGGTGAGGAGATAACGCGCACAGTCGAGCAGGCCATCAGTGGACATTTTATGGGTCAGCTCATTGTCCAGCCCAATGGATGTGGAGAGCAGAACATGATCTATATGACTCTACCTCTCATTGCCACTCATTATCTGGACAGCACAAAGCAGTGGGAGGCTGTTGGCATGGAGCGCCGTAATGAAGCCGTCAACCATATCAGAACAGGTCAGCTGACTGCCCTCAGCATCACCTTTTAATGTTTTCCCAGTGGTTAAATTGAGTGCAGAATGTCCAGGATTTTTTTGTTGGGGGTGCTAAGGGAGGGCTTAACAGTTCAGAGGGGGTGCTAAACAACTAATTAAAATGAGTGAAAGTAATGAACGCCTATAAGCTTCAGCTATCTAAATAGCATACAAATTCAGCCACCTTGTGTTTTACAGCAGCTTCGAAAAAGGCAAATAAAAAAAAAAATGTCTGTGGTATTAAACTTCTCATATGCCACTGTTATTAGTAATATAACTTCTAATGCCAACTGCCAAATATGACACTTACAAATTAATGCAGTTTATGAGCGCACAAAGAAAAGAGAGAAAGTAGGGATTTTTTTTTTCATTTTTTAATGTTTTATTTTATGCATTTATTTATTTATTTATTTTTACACATATCTTTTTAGTAATTTTTTTCTGACCATCAAGTGTCAGTCACTCTCAATGTCAAATGGCAGGAAAACATGGTAAATTCTAACCATATTTTACAATAGATAACGTGCCGACAATTCATACAACTATTTCCACACAGTGGCATAGCGGACAGGCACGCACTGCGGGGGGGCCGCGATAACCTCCCCGTGCTGAAATGCATCGTATCATGTGTCAACGATAGCTTACAAAACCCAATCGCAGTCGTTTACCTTCCATGTTTGCAGGTGAGGAGATAACGCGCACAGTCGAGCAGGCCATCAGTGGACATTTTATGGGTCAGCTCATTGTCCAGCCCAATGGATGTGGAGAGCAGAACATGATCTATATGACTCTACCTCTCATTGCCACTCATTATCTGGACAGCACAAAGCAGTGGGAGGCTGTTGGCATGGAGCGCCGTAATGAAGCCGTCAACCATATCAGAACAGGTCAGCTGACTGCCCTCAGAATCACCTTTTAATGTTTTCCCAGTGGTTAAATTGAGTGCAGAATGTCCAGGATTTTTTTGTTGGGGGTGCTAAGGGAGGGCTTAACAGTTCAGAGGGGGTGCTAAACAACTAATTAAAATGAGTGAAAGTAATGAACGCCTATAAGCTTCAGCTATCTAAATAGCATACAAATTCAGCCACCTTGTGTTTTACAGCAGCTTCGAAAAAGGCAAATAAAAATGCCACTGTTATTAGTAATATAACTTCTAATGCCAACTGCCAAATATGACACTTACAAATTAATGCAGTTTATGAGCGCACAAAGAAAAGAGAGAAAGTAGGGATTTTTTTTTTCATTTTTTAATGTTTTATTTTATGCATTTATTTATTTATTTATTTTTACACATATCTTTTTAGTAATTTTTTTCTGACCATCAAGTGTCAGTCACTCTCAATGTCAAATGGCAGGAAAACATGGTAAATTCTAACCATGTTTTACAATAGATAACGTGCCGACAATTCATACAACTATTTCCACAGAGTGGCATAGCGGACAGGCACGCACTGCGGGGGGGCCGCGATAACCTCCCCGTGCTGAAATGCATCGTATCATGTGTCAACGATAGCCAGAGATATTGTCAAAAGCATCAAACATTGGCAATATTAAAAGGATTTAGCATTTCCAATTAATGTAGGCCTGTTTAATTCTTATTATTATAAGGCATAAGCTATTATTATTATTATTATTAGGTTACTTTTATTATTAAATTATATGAATGTATTGCTCCGCAATAATTTAATAGCGCATCACCACATGACGCGCTGTGAGGATAATTAAAATTTAGACTATTAGCTTACTCCTCATTGAAAATGTTTTTAAAAAGTTTTTATTTTTTTTAAACAGATCTATTAATTTATACAATTGAATTATAGGCCTATAATTAAAATTATTAACACTGCAGTCATCAATGAAAACTAAGAGCAGCTTTATTTCGTGCACCGATTTTTCAAAAACAACCTGTTTAACGCGAAATACGTTTCTTCTAATGTTTTTCACTATACGGGCGACAAGAGAAATATTAAGGGAATAATTTAAGGCAGTTATATACCGTTATCAGCATATGTTGAAGTAGTTTTGTCTCTCGTTGTCTCAGAGAATATGCGCCGTTAATGCAGCGCTAGAAAGTTCCATCAGTTTTTTTACTTTCACTTTCTCTATAGTGAATTGAATAACTCTTGCGCACAGTTTGCACATTGCTTGCTTGTGTTGCTTGACCCCTCCCCCATAATATAAATTGTTTATAGGCCACATATTAGGCACTTTTTTTTTATGAAGTAGTTTCGTCTCTCGTTGTCTCAGAGAATATGCACCGTTAATGCGGCATTAGAAAGCTCCATCAGTTTTTTTACTTTCACTTTCTCTATAGTGAATTGAATAACTCTTGCGCACAGTTTGCACATTGCTTGCTTGTGTTGCTTGACCCCTCCCCCATAATATAAATTGTTTATAGGCCACATATTAGGGACTTTTTTTTTAGGTTTTTAATGTTTAGTTTTCAATGTTAATGAAAGTGACACCAAAAAACAGGAACATCATTAGGAAATCCTTAGGGGGCTAAGCAAGTTTCTGATGGGGCTATAGCCCCGTAAAGCCCCGCCTTAGCGCCGCCACTGAGAATGTCCACCACTATGTGATTAATTTGTTGTTTGTTGTTGTCAAGGCTATCAGCGGGAGTTGACCTTCCGTAAAGGTGATGGGTCATATGGTGCCTGGATACATGTGCCGAGCAGCACATGGTGAGATAATGCAGATTATTTACAGATAATGATTGTTTTTCTTGCATGTTTCTTGTATTATGCTTAAGCTGGCTTTCTCTCTTGCGTCCATTTTCAGGCTGACAGCATATGTGGCTAAAGTGTTCGCGATGGCCAGTGATCTGATTGTCATAGAGGAGAATGTGATCTGCAGCGCCCTCACCTGGCTGGCCACAAAAAAACAGACGTCAGATGGCGCATTTAAAGAAGATGCGCCCGTGTATCACAGCGAGATGGTTGTAAGTTAAATTTTTGGCAAAATTCCCCTTCAAAAATCATGCACAACTTTCAGATCCGTTGCGCTCTGGCGATTCCCAGCTTCTGGTCCTGTTCCCCTCTATCTTCTCCCATTGTGTCCTACTCCTGTCAAAATAAAGGTGAAAAAGCCCATAAATATATCTTTAAAGAAAAGGAAAAAAAATCAAGTACAATCAACAGGTAGGTGCCTCTAGTAATCTGAAAGTCATGGCTTTATGTGGAATACATCATGCAGGGCTCAACGCTAAGGATTTTTTCTACTGGTCCAGTTGGGACAGTGGTTCAAATGTTTACTTTTTACTTCACTTTTTTGTAAAAAAAGAAAAAAGAAACAGTTGTTGTTATGGTTGTTTTTGACCCCTTTTATCTTGTATTCTAATAAATAGGCTTATATGATACCACAATTTCAAATACCAGTTAAATTTTACAATTCTCAGTTTCAATTTCAATCATTATTAAGGACAAGTGAGCAGATGGTAACAAATTAACAAATAACAAGCAATAGCACATAATAAATAAATAGAATAAAGATACAAATTAAACAATGCTTTGGGTTTTTAGGTTTGTATGTGTTCAGCTACAGAAATGAATAATCAAATGTAAATTAACATTGCATATCCTTCACTGTATAAATTAAATATAGATTAATCCTTGTTAAAGCTACAAAAGTTATTCAGCCAAGAGCAGTGAGTGATTTTATTGTATTTATTTGTTTCTGGATTAACATTAAGGACACCAACAGCAGCTGGTAAATTAGGTGCGGACACTTTAAGAGACAATGCTATGGATCAAATATAATACACATCCTTTTTTCTCAACTGTTTATGTTCACTTAAGACATAACTAACTGTTTTCGAGGATACTCGCCAAGACGGGTATTTTGTATGTATTTGTCCATTCACTGTCCATCCTCATTCATTGTCCATCACAAGAAGACGAGGAAAGAAACTCGATTTGGTGCTCGCACGTTGCCTGAGACGCGGCTTTATGTGTGCGCGCTGTGCTCACAGAACACACTGAATGGAGTTGTTATTTGTGTCTTCTTGCCCTTGAACGCTTTAAAATCAATTGAATGTTTCAATTGGCTAGGCTTAAAAACACATGCAAATCATAAACTTTCATGATGACGCAGCAGTGAAAAATCCGTCAGCTGTCCCAAACATCTTTCACGCTGACTCCAGGCCACTGGGCAGTCCTTATTGTCGAGCCCTGTTATGTTACTGTAATTGCAAAAATTAATTCACAAATGAAACCCAAATTCTTTTTGCACCAGAAAGAAGTAGCTGGATAGATAGAATATGTGAAAGTCTGCCAAACCATGGGCTGTTCCTTGCCGTGTGTAGCACTCTACATATTTTTCAGAAGCATCCCGACATTCTTGTTACATCATTATACAACATCTTATTATTTGAGTTTATGTCAATTCCAGGGTAATGTACGCGGGAAAGATGCCGATACCTCTCTAACTGCATTTGTCCTGACTGCAATGCAAGAGGGGAGCAAGATCTGTGCTAGATCTGTAAGTGTGATTCCTGGAAACAGCTCTACGATACGTCATCTTCATCTCGAGCACGTCTCACTCAGTCTCTCTCTCTATACTAGAATCTTCAGAGCAGTATGAACAGAGCCATTGATTACCTGCTGCTGAGAGTTCACAGCCTGACCAGCACTTATGCTGTCGCTATGACTTCTTATGCTTTAGCCCATGCTGGAAAACTCAATAAAGACATCTTGAAGAGTTATTCCACTAAAAGCAAAGGTCAGTAACATTACAGTCTGTCAAAACTCAGCGAATGTCTAGTAGCATGAAGGTGAGATTCAATACAATTGAGGTCACTTCTCCATGGCAAACGCTTGTGAGATAATTGTACCAGGTTTGTTATAGTTAACTAAAACTGAAATCATGAAACAAAAAATTTTTTGTTACTTGAAATAAAATAAATGCTAACTGAAATAAAAAATATATATATTTAAAAAATATATATTTTCAGCTAGTTGACAATAAAAACATTTATCATTTTCATTTTGTTTAACGTGATGTACCTGAAATAGCTAAAACTGAAATAAAAATTAATAAAATCTATATAGACTATATACAACTTTTACTAAAATTAAATTGAAAACTGAAAATATAAAAATAATAACTAATAACTAATACCAACTACTAATATAAACTATAATAGTAATTTTAATATTAGTAATGATACTAAAATAACACTGTGTTGTACACTATACCTGTAAAAACAGTAAGTTTGAACTTTGTCAACTGGTATAATATTTGAATAATAGCTGAACTTCCTAGTAAGGTCTCATCCAAAATGTGAAATAGGGTGAATAAATGCATTTGTGATGATAATGAGAAAAGCTTTCTCTCTCTCTCTCTCTCTCTCTCTCTCTCTCAATTCAATTCAATTCAATTCAATTCAAATGAGCTTTATTGGCATGACTGTGGAACAGCACAATGTTGCCAAAGCAATAAACAGCGAACAAGTTATACAGGCATATAAATAGTAAAAAAAACAACAACAAAAAAAACGTCTCTCTCTCTCTATTGTAAGGGTATGCTTTAAACACATGTTTGATGTTTATTTCAAAATGTTAACACTTTTATTACTTTTCAAATCAAAAATGAGTATTGTGATGCACAATATTATAAAAAAAATCAAAACTGTGATATCACATTTTGCTTATACCCACTTTTAGATGGAGTATTTTGGCAAGTTCCTGGGGAGCACCATCACTCTCTAGAGGCCACAGGTTATGCCGTGCTTGCCTTGGTGATGGCAAAGGATTTCGAGAGCGCTGGACTGGCAGTGCGTTGGCTGGGAAAGCAACAATCCCGCTATGGGGGTTACGGCACAACGCAGGTATTTTAAGTGACAAATGAATAATTGTCACAGGTTAGTGGCTGCAATGAAGGAGATTCTTAGGAAGACTTTTTAGTATCACGCAAAACATTAAACAAGAGAAAATACCACTATAACACAAACTAACAGAATTAATGCAGGACAAAGGGAAACTCGAAACTGAGGGCTTAAATACTAATGAGAACAAAGGAAGAACCAAACAAGACGCACCTGAACTGAGGACTCAAATTAATCGGCAACCATAGAAACAAACAGGCAGGGAACCTAGGAGAGCAGAACTAGAAACTCAGACAAGAACAGAACAGGAAAACCGACCAACAACTCTAAACAAACTGAAAATGTGACAATAATTTTGTGAACTGATTGATTTATATAGTTTACAATGTATGTTGTCCTCCTTATTTTGTGCAACCCTGTAATTTAAGGCGATACTGCGCTTTTTTTGATATACCAATGAAATGTCCCTTATATCTACGCACTTTAAAAACATCCATGTGCTGACATTTTCACCTGACTGAGAAATCCTCCAGAAGTTTTGAATGTCTGAATAGGTGTGAAATGCAAATTAGATTTTAGTGTATATTGTGTTCCATGTCAGAAAATCAAATGGGTTCCAAATTGTCATTTTTATGCTAAAAGTTCATTGTAAAGGTAATGAGAGTTAAATATGGCAGCAGTGAGACTACTTGGTGGTGGAGGATGAAAGTCACTGGAGTGATGTCCATTGATGTCCAATACAAAAATGACCATGTCTTTTACCTTCATACCGCAAAAGTTTTTTTTTTTTCTCATCTTATTACCTGTCTGTTTAGGCAACGATCATGGTCTTCCAAGCCGTGGCTGAGTACCGCATTCAGGTTAAGAAGGTAGACATTAATTTGAACCTGGAGCTCGCTGTGCAGGAGAGAAAAGAGAAAACCAGAATCGCTATAAGACCGTCCAACCTTCACCTTTCACGCTCAGACAAGGTCTGGAAATATGAAGGAATGTTTGCACCCTTAATGCTGAGAAATAGAATTAAAATGTTGTTCAATGCACATTTACACCATACACAGTCTAATTCACATGTTGTTTGTATTAACTGATTCACTTAAAAGTGTGTTTTCTTTATCTGTCTGCTTCATGGACTGAATGCCACAGTTTGACATTACAAGGAATTTCAATATCACAGCTCAAGGGACTGGGGTGGCCATGCTCTCGGTGAGTATTCATGAACGCGCTCATGATGTCTTCACCAGCATGTTGTTCTGTGTTCAAGAGCTCCTGTCCTTTCCTCTCAGGTCTTTTATGTGTATTATGCTCTGCCTGAAGAGAAAGACTACGACTGTAATGCATTTGATCTCAGTGTAAAGATGGAGAAAGAGTCTGCAGGTAGGATTTATGAGGAGAACGAGACACAAGTGTAATTCAAATGGCTTTGTTGTAAAATAAGGTTGAATTATGATGATATATTTTTGTCCGTAGTGTCCTATGATGGAGCCTCTGAAAGCTACCAGATCACCATTGAATACATGTGAGTATACAACTATTCTAACTTTAACACAACACTTAACTTTAACACTTTGCACAAAGGGAAGCTGCGATGTATGATTTTACACTTTAACCCAACCTGCAAATAGATTATTGATGCATTATTACATCATATTAATTCTCCTTTGCAGTTTCAAAGACCCTTTAAGAAGCTCAACCATGTCTATTTTGGACATTGGCCTGCTGACAGGGTTCAAAGTGGATGAACATGATCTTTCAAAGGTAAATAAACGGCATCAAGGATTGTGAAAGTTCATAAAATCATAAATAAAATCTAACACATTCACTTGAATTCAATTCAATGAACATAATGGACATTTGATACACTATCAAATGATTTTCTCTTATGATTTGGCCAACAGTTATCCAGTGGTAAGGATAAGTACATTCAGAGCTTTGAGTTGAACAAGGAGCTGTCAGAGCGAGGATCTCTTATCATCTACATAGATAAGGTACACTGTAGGGCTGTCAAAATGGCTGAAAAACTAAATTTGAGTTTTGTACTTAAATGTTATTAAAAAAAATTCGAATTATATTCGAATTTAAAATGCATAATTTCAGTTAGGGTGAAGAAAAGCTTTTGGCTTCTCTTCTGAGGCCACAAGAGGGCGCATCGAGCAAAATATTACTAATGCACGATTATTCAAAGCATAATAACATGACTCTCTGTGAAAAAAAGTGCATAATGTTTAAAATAATGTTTATAAACCAATTATAATTAATTATGTTGCTTAAACAACTATAAACAAAACAGCATCATGAATGTATTCATAGTTTAATACAAAGGGCGGAAAGCCAATCACACAGAGTACGTTTTTCATTTTTCAGACGCGAGTGCAACGGTGATAGATGTCCATTTGGAAAATGCGCAAAATATGCGTTCTGTGTGGCCGGCTTGGTTTCAGTTTTGATGTAAACAAGATCTTCTCCGCATTTGATGTTTTTTTGATGTCCGCATTGATGTTTTTTCAATGATGTTTATTGATGTATTTTCCTGCAATATTTGTAATTAACAATGCAGCAGCGCCGCATCTAGTGGCTTCAACTGGATAGGCTAACAAAAACATTAAAATGCAATTACATCGTCATCGTCATCGCATCTTGTGAGCCTCTGATAAGGCTGCCTCCTTAACGCACACCTAAAATTGGAATGCAACGTTTTTGCATTCGAATGTGGATTTTTATTTTAAATTCGACGAATATTCGAAATTCTAATTTTTTTTTTTGACAGCCCTAGTACACTGCCACTATTCCCATATGTGTTGTGTTTTTATTTCTATTTTTTGCATGTTGTGGATATGCTACTGATTTTTTTTCTCCTTTACTATGAGCAATTTGGTGAATTGCTGTTTGGTGTAGTGATTGCTCATGATAATAACTTTGTACTTAATGTCTTATTAGGTTTCTAATAAAGAGAAGGAAAGGGTTGTCTTCAGAATGCACAAGATCAATGAAGTGGGAATGCTGCAGCCCGCTGGAGTTACTGTGTACGAGTACAACGCTCCGGGTGTGTGATGTTGCAGTTGCCAACACATATGTATCTAAGAGTACTAGAAAAGAAATGCATCTAACTATTTCTTCAGTAAATTTCACAATGTACACAAAAATTCACATTTTAGCAGTAGATTCTGTGATAAATCACTGTCAGTTACTTAAAACAACTCAAGAATAAAGAATTAAGAACAAAATTGTACTTGCGTTCCACTGAAATAAAAAGTTAATTGCACAGATAGAAAAAATGAACATTGGCGCTATTCCCTTATGCAAATGGCAATGCTTATTAAAGAACACAAATCCATATGACTGACCATTTTGACGTATTGTGTAGGACAAATTCTACTGGCATATTTAATCTAACCTGCATATTTTGACAGATAAGCGTTGCGTGAAGTTCTACCATCCTCATAAGAAAGATGGATCGCTGAACAGACTCTGCCATGAGGACCTGTGCCAGTGTGCTGAAGGTTCGTACACTTGAAATGCAAGATGAATATACAACATGCTTAAAAAGTATCATTTTATGAAGTCCCCATGAGAAAAACGAATGAAATATCCTAACAGAGAACTGCAGTTTGCAAAAGAATGAACACATAGATGAGGAGAATCGTGAAGAAAAGGCCTGTGAACGTGAAGTGGAATACGGTAAACACCTTGAATGCTTGACTTATTGTAGCAGTAGAGAAAGTTAGATCACATCTTGTACAATATATTTCCCTTTCAGGACTGTCTTATTTTCCTAATGAAGACCCAGTAAGGGTCATTTCTTGCCAGTGGAGCTGTTATGTACAGTAGATGATCATGTAATGCATTTGTCTTGCAGTTTATAAAACCAGGGTGTTGGAAATGGGCTTGTCATTGCATGCGGACATCTATAACATGACAATTGAGCAAGTGCTGAAGGAAGGTATGGGTTGCCATTTTCCTTCTGATTTACTGTGGCAGTAGCGAAAGCTGGACATGAAAGATGCCGTTTAATCTGTGAATCATGACTCTGGATTGTGACTGGTCCATTGCACTGGCTTCATCTTGTGTCTGTGTTTGTTTTTAGGCTCTGATACAGATGTGGAAGGAAGTATGAGATCGTTCTTGGCTCATCCTTTCTGTAGAGATTTTCTGAAATTTGAAAAAGGCAAGACGTACCTGATCATGGGCCAAACCAAAACCCTTCCAAGGATTGGCGGAAAGTATGACATTCAGTATGGATTATGTGGAATTGGCTGATCTTGTAGTTTAGTGCACTCTTATTATATATCTGCTATACGGATGCTCCTAATGAAAAACGTTCTCACTCTTCTCAATCATCTCAGGTTGAGGTACCACTTGGGCGAGGACACCTGGATTGAATATTGGCCAACAGAAAAGGAGGCCCAGACATCAAAACATCGAGCAAAGTATATTGGCATCACCGCACTGGCCAAGAAGCTTCAATCTGGATGCTCCACTTAAAGATTTTCATGAGCTTAAAATTCATTTACTGTTCTATACCATCCTTACAGCCACAACTTTGCTTTTAATTATAGTATGTTGTCAGATAAATATTTGCTTACTTTTTGTTTTAAGGTTCATGCAGTATGCTCAATTCACTTAAATGAGTTCAACCTAAGGTCTGTCAAGTGAAATATAATAATTTCAAGCCATTTGTCAAATAAAATTTGCAAACATAAAACAGTCTTTATTTTTTATTCTTTGCATACCAAAAAAGAAAAGAAAAAGAATCTATTTCCAAAAACCTTACCAGAGAATTAATTGAAAAAAAAGCAAGGAAACCTAAGCAGATTACTGCCATGATACTGTACAGTATATGAGACTATAATCAGACAATATAAATGTATTTAACAGGTTGATCATGCGCTATAATAAGGAGTAGATTTGTCAAGGTAAGTGCCAACAAAATGCCAAAGAGGACCGCTTTTCTGCTTTCACCTGGTTGATTTGTTAAAGGCTTTATTTCAACCGACCATATTTACTTGGTTATATTTAAAGCTCACTTGGATTTGTTCTTAGATGACGATTTGGTACCTTGAAAGTCTGTCTGGAAGCATTTTCCTCAGGAGCTTCCTTGATACACTTGCTGTCTGATGGATGGGGCAACAAGGTTTCAGTGTTTAGGAAGAAAAATAAATGAGAAAGTTTGTTGTGTCACTAATAAAGCATGCTGGACTTGTTGCCAGATAATCTGTAGATTTTTTTTTTTTTTAAAGGAGTACTTTTATTCATCAGAATCTGTTTGCTTATTTATTTATTTGTTTATTCACTTTTTTTTTTTTTTGTATCTTCTGGATCCTTGCTGTAAAATTAAAAACTTACGGCATGCAAGCTTTTTCCAAGAAATTTCCGAGAAAAATCCAGAAAGACTTTGTTCAACATCTTAAATAAAACCAGCTGAAACTGAAAAGTTTTCCAGCCCGGACTGATCAATAGAAGAGCAGTAGGTTTACCAAAGGTTGCATTTGCACAACAGGTCATTTACGGGAAATCTCACCACAGTGAACTCTGTTCTTTACCACAAACAGCTCCACAACATTCTCGTTTTCTGATCAAAGTAACCCATTAGATTGACAGCGTTGAATTTAAAGCCAGTTCTCACAACGAACGAAAAATATAACAATGATAACTCTATTAGTATCCACACCAATGGACGACACCTGTTTATTCTAGTGCGCACTTTAAAGTAGGCAGGATTTATCGGCTGAAACCCCACACCCCTGAAATCTGCCTCTTCTGTCAGTTTTAAAGCACTATAATACCATTTTAAAGGAAGAAAGACAATAAATTATGCATTTATTTGAATACATAAACATTATTTCCATCACTAAAGTGCATGAATTCAAATAGGAATTTTTGGCAGTCGCGGGTTCAGGTAAAAGTGCACTCGTGATTTGAGTCTGTACAAACATGAAAACAGTCAGACACACAAACAGACAAAGATGGAGGTGAAGCTGCTCTTTCTGACTGTTGTTCTTCTCTCCTCGCCGCTCCTCACACTATGCGACCCACTGTGAGTATCAAACACACCGTTTTATTAATAGGTTATTAATTTGTGTGTGTTTATTATTAGTTAAGTTCGGGGATACTAGCTTAGTACCTATAGGTTTAGAGGTTCAGTCACACAAATGTCTGTTTTGTATGGCAGTGGTTTTGTAGGTTGGTTTCAGACACCAACAACAAAGTTACTTTCCAGTGGGGCATGTTGTCAAGTGTTTTATTTGAATTTTAATATTTGTTATTTATTTAATTTGTTAAAATGTGATTTTAATGTAATGCAATTGAATTGACCAAAACATTTTTGTTGGATATTTAGTTTTGTATGTCACCTTTTGCATTTCTGCAGTTTCATGAAGTTTGACTTTTATTCGATTGTTCATATATTGCTTAAACAGATTCTGTGACAACTTACTCCACATACTGTGACCGTTCTGTTCTATGCTATTGTGGCATGTTGTCACCAGAGCTGGGTAGTAACTGATTACACATAATCTGGATTACGTAATCAGATTCCAAAAGTTAAGTAATTAGATTCAATTACATTTTAAAATACTCGAGATCAGACTACAGTTACTTTTTTATTGATTACATAATTACTTATTATTCACACAATAGCAATAAATGATTCAGAACTAATTGATTTTCCCTAATCCTTCTTTTTCATCTTTTTTCCTTTCTAAAATAGCCCACTGTTTGTATACACTCAGGAAGTCTTCCAGTTTTGCGGACATTCACACAAAAAACAGTCATTAGTCAGGTGGCTGTAATTGCACAGAAAACTGAGAGGCCACACATTTGACCACTGGGTTTACAAAAATCATTTCAGTATTAAGAAGAGTTTTCTCAGTATTTCAACATTGCATCAACTATTGATAAAGAGGAATTATTTTTTATTTGATTAATCTCTCAGTGGGTTATTCAACCATGTATTACTGTCTACACAAACATTACTATGTCTATTACTGTCTAAGGTATCTGTAGCAAATTAGCTCAAAAGGGAAATGTATATAAATAATTACAATTAATTATGATTAATTACAATTATTTATATCAGCTGCCAGTAGTAACTGTAGCAGAATTAAATTGCCCTCAACTAATCTGTTCGTCCTGCGAACATTCAGTGTAAATTCATATCAACTCTAGGAAAGGATATTTCCGTGGCCACAGAAAATACTTTCTTACAGTATTAATGCATTAGAGCATATAGCGAGGATCAAAATCGTAAAGGGAAATTCATTTGCAAGGCAGAATCAGAAACTCGTGTAATTTATGTGCACAATAGTTTTATTAACTAAACACTAACACAAACTAGTCTAACAAACAAACAAACAAACAATCACTCATACATGGGAAAGGGCAAATGAGGCGTGATGGATGAAACCATCAGGAAAACCAGAGAATGAAGCTATGAAAAGAGTCAGTTAACCACCTGAGTGAAACCATCAGCGCCGTTTTAGAACGGGGTCTACAGCTTATACTAAACCTCTGTTTCGTTTAGTTAAATGTACGATACTTGCATTGCCTTGGCCTGGAACGAGCGTACGGATGCAGTCTCGGATGAAAGTCTTGATGGTTTGGAGGTTTTGGACTTGCGATCACGTTCTTCCGGGTTTGAAGAGTGATGAACTCCAAAGATGTTCTGACTCGATGGTGATTGGGAATTTCTTCCCAGTGGAAAGTGAACAAGAGCTAAGAGAGACATCAGCTGAGATCCTAGGATCTTAGGTGAATGGAAAATCAAGGCCCGAGGCCTGGCGCAGACTT